TATACATCCGAAGTACAGCTCGGGATGTCCAATCCTGAGCGACCTCTGTTTCTAAGAAGGCGCTTACACTGGGAGCTAGCTTCGCTCGCCACTCGGTCACCAGCTAAGCCTTGCTATTACACATCTACATCAATGATGGATACTGGATCTTTAGCCCTACGGGGGTTGGTCATCTAACATGCATTGACTGTCCGTAGAGTGAAAGCAACTACTCTGTCGAGTGTAACGTTAATCCTCTGCTCCTCAATAAAGACGAACCAACATGGAAGGGAAAGCCGGGAAAATCCCTGAGGAATCTTTGTCTTGCAGCAGCTAGGGACCATGTGTCGTCATGCTGCTAAAACAGTCGGAACAACTGCTCGAGTGTTAGTGAATGATATCAACTCCAGAAATTATATGGCGCGTCCAATGTCCAAAAACTAAACGATTCCGCTTATTAAACCTCAACGAAGATCCACATGAATGTAGTTAGGAAACCCATTTTTCTTTAAATACTTTATACAGTAAGGGTTTGATTAAAACTAGAAGACCTGCAGGGTCAAGCTCCGTGCTCGACACACATTATATAGTATGTGTTGATAAGTAAGCAAAGTGATATAACTGGACTCTGAGGAGAGCGCAACTCAAAGGTTAATAGGTTTTTCAATGAAAATCGACTAACATGCATTTATGCACCATTCACAATAGTGTATCAGAGCAACGAAATCGAGTTTACACTTACTTTGCCTAACTAGGCTTCCCACACTCAAAAAACCTCGTTCAAAAAACTCAAAAAACGTTTCTTCCCACATGTCTACATCACACTACATACACATTCACGCTCTCTCTAACCGATAGCGTTCACAAGCCGATCATCATCGTAGGCTTCAGATCATCGAGGATCACATCTTGTTCGATCACCAAGCCCGCCAGGAATGTCACAACTGATGTGTCTCTCAAACGTGTATTCATCAAGCGGGTCCCAGGATCAAAGCGAGATCGGATGGAAGTATGAAGAGAGATCAATAGAGAGAAACAGAAGCTTGCCTCCTATGATTACTACACAGCCCATTTCAGCTCAGTCGATTCTAGGTGCCGCGCGCATTCGGCTAGAAAACGCGGCTATGTACTAGTTCATATTGGACGGACGCGTACTGACGACGTCCTTGCATTCAGTGTCTTGTGTTTTTTTCTTTCTCCTTCGTCATCGACATCTTTTCGAAGATGACGAGGATGATGGCGCCGGAAAACGCCTTTCACTACTTCTAGATACCTATCTTCCCTCCTTCCCTCAATCTCTTCGTCGCTTGCCTTTCTCTCACCTTTTCTCACTGCTCTTGTCTCGGAGCTTACGTACTTTTCAGACAAAGATTTCGTTCCGTGAGCGAGTACTCGCGCACCCCCGCCTATGGATATTGAACGTGGCTGTTTGAAAGAAATAGGTAGCGAGAAAACAGAGCAGATGCCGTTAGCGGTGGCCGAGCCAGCATAGGCGAGCAATGGAGTGACATAGTACGAGGACGGAGAATACGATAGGGGGAGGGGGTGAGGGAGTTACTGTATAGTATGTGGAAGTATAATATGTGGGAGCGCGGTGCGCTCTGGATGGGTTCTGTTTGTACGGGTTGCTCCCGCAGCAAGGAAAAAGGCACAGACTCAGCACTGTAAGGTTAGAAACCCTCCGCTAAATCACCGAAGCTTGCCATCGATTCAACTGGGGCTGAGGGTGGTTCGGGGAAAGGAAGGAGGAAACGCCTAGTCAACGTGCTCCATTTCGCGTACCGACTTGTTTAGCCTTCGTCATTTATCTTCTCTCTTTTCCCTGCCCACTGCTCATTCAGCAGTCGAAGGGTTTAGTTCACTTGCCTTGGTTCATTGTGTTCTTTTGGGAGTTACCGTTATAGGGCTGCAAGTGTAGTGAGCAGACAAACGAAAAGATGAGGAAAACGAGTGAGTGGGTGCTATACGGCAACACCCCCCGAACTTTTGCCTTGTGTCGTGCCACTATAGGTAAGTTTAGCCCAGCGCCGATTGACTTCAACTATACACCCAATGTAAGCTCGCCTCCAGGCAACTTCTGGTTCAGGTTTTCTTGGACGAGGAAACCCATGCCCTCGTCACGGATGCCGGTTGGACTCGTCGGAGCCCACCAGCGGTCTGAAACGCTGCAGTGCTGACCGTACAATGTGACGCAGTAGCGTACACACACTGCCGGCTGAGCTGCAGCGTGTAGTGATCCATTGCCTGGCTAGTTGTCTGCCGCCTGCCCAAAGGGAATAAGAAGCACAGCCACTTGCTTCGGGCCCTCTCAGTCATCTGCTTCTGTTGGCATGCTGCACTTTACTTCTCTTTACGCCTCACGCTTTTCCGTGTTTTGCTTCCACGCTGTCTGTATCGAGAGAAATACACCAAGTCGGCACGTTCTTCCATAGTGACACGCGATGTCCGCCAAGACTCTTGATGTATCTCTTCGTTGTTTCCCTAGCTCTCGCGGAGACACACACCGGCGCAACGCGCTTTCACTGCCACCGTTGAGGCCGAACCGGCTGGCGTCCGGCTAAAGCTGCAGTTCAACTGAGTGTGCGCAGTACTTAAATGGTACCCTTCAAACTTTCAACTTCAAAGCTTTTTCAAATCTTACCCATTCGACTGTGAGCTTTTCATGCCGTCTTCATTTTCATTGCTCAGCAAAGTCTCTTGGTCTCGCGGTTTTTCTATTTTCTGCCCCCCAAAGAAAAACTGCGTCTTCTTTAAAGCTAGTGAATATTCACCACAAAATTCCAAATTGCATCCAAGGCGAATTTAGTCAGTCGCTATATCGTGGCATCACTACTTAGCCTTGTAGACGAATAGCGGCAGGCAGCCATCGTCGCAAAGCACATCGCCAAACCCCAGCAACCCAAGGCTTAGAGAGGATTTCGGTGATCACCCTATCTATTTGCAAGCCAATTAAATAGCACAGGCAACTGCTCCCGTAGTATTATCAAATGCTTCATCATTGCTGGGGTTTGCTTGAGTGTTGTTAGCATTTCTTAGTGGTAATAAAAATAGAACGTCCAAGGTAGCATTCAAGCCCTAACGGCGATTTGCCTCTGCTGGAAATCCCCTATGGGAAAGGGTGTGGCAGACGCAGCTTGACGCGAAGATCAAATATAATTACTACCGTCTCAGACATAAATGTGTGTACATATATGAATTATAATGCTGCTGCAGTCTTACGCGAGTTTCAAGGGAACGCGGGGCATGCGCTAATTACCAGCCTGTCTATCTTTATCTACATATCGTTGAATTCTCCTTCTACGTTGTCTTTTCCGACAGCCCCTGTGTAAGTTAGTTCCATTACTCCGAAATTCTCGGTGGCGACTGCTCCAAACGGCGTATCCTCCTAATGTCCTTTGATCAGTTGTTCTGTCAAATGCAGCAGTTCGACCAAAACCTAGGGCTTGCTGAAACTCAGGCCCCACACATAGCAATTTAACTGCTACCACAATTGTTGCCATCGGCAGCAACGGCGATTTCAAAACCAACATTTCTAGTGTGGCCATGACCACACAGCACAACAAAGTTATGCCTTCAACGTGAGCAGGATCGTTCGCTGCTATGCTCGGTGTCATGAAGTTAGTGACGCCTTAGGATTTTTCTACCTGTCACCCTATTCGATCGCAAACAGCGCCTCTTTGACGGTGGAAAATCGTTTCAAGCAGGCTGTTATTCTGATTCGGCCCAGGCTTGCTTATGTTCTTCTAAGAACAAGTTAGCCATGCGCGATGACGATCAATTGTTTGTTTACAACAACGTACCAACGAACCTATAGGCTTCTTTCCAGATAACGCGCCGATCCTGTCGCAAAAATCTGCGAAGGAGTAGACAGCGCAAAAGCGACCGGAATAACTAAAAGTTGAGCATCCCGCAATATCTAGGGCTGAAACGAATGACGCGGCGGGACAGCCTATTTTTGGTGCGTTGTGCCTTGATCTCTTATCGACAAGGCAAACATGACCTTGTTTTTCTCCGCTGGTCCAATCAATTCCGAAATGGATTTGTTTACCATCAGCTATTCAATTTGTATAAACAAATACTCAAAATGGCAGTTTACGTATGAAATGTAGAGCTCGCCTTTATTGCAAATGGAATAAATTGGATCGCCGGCCTTCATTTGTCGTAATCGAATCAAAGGGGAGACGATTTGTCATCAGGCAAAAAATACTGATGAGATCTAACTTTCATATCGCTTTTGACTCGTGATAATAATGCGCGCACATGTAAGCGACAAGACAGGAAAAGGGGCAGAGATACAACGAGAAAACAATCGATCGGGCTTAATGAACTGTATTGGTTTGGGTACCCAAGCGTATCTCTCGCTGATGTATCAAGAGACGATAGACGACGATGAGAAAATGTCCCGATGCTCCATTTTGCAACAGGAAAGCTCCACTTCGAAGCCAGCGAGAACGGCCTGTGTAGAGAGCGCTCGATGTGTACTCGAAGTACCCACCTTCGAGAGATGGTGCAACTCCCTTGTAAACCATAAATAAAGGCAACAAATAACATTGACGAATACATTTTCTGAAGGTCTGAGTTTGGCAGAAGCCACCGTAAATGATTTCCTAACAAAGTGCTATTCGAACTTTTTAAATAAAAAGTTTTCATTTCCTCATTTTGCCAATACAAGTTATTGCCATTACGGCTTTCTATATGCAGAACCCTTCTGCACAAAAGTGTCGTAAGATCGCAGCTCTAAAGAATATCAAATCGCCTTTTTGCCTGAGCTGATATTAGACAATGCAAATGCTGCAGCCCTTATTAGTATCTGCCCGTTCTATCGGGTGGGAGCCACATCTCGGAGCGCCGGTACCATGCGTCCAGGAAACAATTTATTCTTTAACGATATATCTTCTTGGTAGCTCGCTACTAGAAATTTAGGTATCATGACAAAAATTAAATGTATTAGAAATAGATGGGATTACCATTCTCGCATACCTCAAAAGAAAACAAATAATAATTAGCACTTGATCACTTACCTCTTTCACCCGGTAGCGGACGCTTGCTTCCATTGTGGAAAAACCACGGTCGCCCCGAATTTCTTGATTCTTTGATCTTTGAATCACCATTGGCATTCACATTGTTATGTTCGTCGTCATTAGTGTTACTTTCTTTTATTTGACTTGGCGGTCCATCTGGAAGATTCACATCGGCCACAGAGCCTGGCGTGAACTTCCCAGGTATTCGATTAGGTCGTAAACCTCGCCTACGATTTGGCCCAATTCTTACTAGTCGATGACGCGATTTCCGTCGACCTTGTTGTCGTTGCTGTTGTTTTTTTTGGTGTTGTTGCAGCTTTACTCGCTGGTTAAGCTTTTTCTGCGGCAGGGGCAACTTCAAATCGTTAAATGCAATAACACTAACCGCATTGCCCCCATCGCGGTTATTCGCTCCTAATCGGAACCGACTTGGGGACGGCGGTGAGTCAATATTATTGGACAATCCTTGCAGTTCACCCGGACCCCGAGCCTCAAGCAATGCCGGACCCGAAGCCAGCGGCTGTACGCTGACCGGAATGCCGGACGTATGAAAGGTCGGCACTATAAAATAAACGTATGCCCCGCATGAGAGTAGACAGGAGACGAGCACGACGCGCCGCAGTTTTTTGAATGTCAACATAGCCTTGTTCCGCTGTTGGCAAGTTCGGGGACGATAGCGTTGGCAAACGCTGACAACAAGTTTGTCGTGCCGTTAGCGGAACCCAAACCGCTAGTTCCACTGACCATTTGAGAATAGACAAAGTGGAGCAGTTTTTGTCGGAAATAGCGACGGCAGAGATTCAGACGAAGTTCGGAACGTGATTGTGACGTGTAGGTCGACACCGAGAGGAGGAACAGCGATTGGCGGCGGTTGGACGGCGGCTGCACCGCTCTGCGGACCGGAACTACGACGCGTACCGACAACGATAGCTTAGGCGACCAATTGTGAAGATACGACAGGGTCCACAAGGTAAGGCTGCCATTCCACGTGGAAGTCCTGAAATAGGCATAGCATAAGAGAGAACACCAGGACAACGTGATTATGTCTAATGTCATCTGTTCAATACTCCGAAACAAAAACGACACGCCGATTCTAGTCAGTATCGAATCTGTGCTTCCGAGCTCACCCATCTACGACTCTGCTGTCTTCCTAACGGCTTGCGCTGCTCGTTCCATGATGATTCAGAAAGCTCGAGACAAGCGAATGCCAAAAAGACAGGTGAAGCACCGTCATAACAAGATTGTCCAATGCTGCTACCATGGCACATGGATTATGTTACAGATGATTACACTGATTGACGATACACATTATTCCAAGCACGTTAGTTTTAGTGTGTTTTAAAGTGAAGTATGTTGAGGGTGTCTGAAAGGAAGGCAATATGTCCTGCCGACGAATCGCGGCCACTACCACTATTACTTACTGTAGATGTTTTTCCCTCGAATTTGAATTTTACAGACCAAGCAAACGGCCTTGTGGTGAGCCTTTCGTCTAGTACTGCTGTTAAGCGTCGCTTTAGAAGTGAACTGTTATCAAACGAATAAGATTTATTTTTAGACATTGTATAGGCTAACTGCCTATAATACGCTAGGACCGTCGGGCAATGGTGTTCGATTTGTATGAATAATTTGCATATTGGCCAAACGCAGTTTCAACATCCTTATTTCTTTCGAGTTTTTGCAATATTTCATTGGCTAAATTCAGTCATAATTAATTATAGGCAGTACGGAAAACGAGCGATTTTTCAAGGATCACACTAAGCCTCTCTTTCTGTTACGCCTCATCATCTAACATTTATTTTATTAGTACGAATTCCGCTCTCCGTAATTAGCTAACTGGCTATTTATTCATTTTTTGGGAGTTGGCTCGGCAAGAATCAAACTATCACGAAGCAAAAAGTCCGCGGGCATCGTTGAATTTGGTCTCCTAGATACAGGTTCCTTCGTTGGAATGATGATGGAAAAAACATATGGTGGTGTTTGCTTACACCGGACGTTCACACAGTAGGGTTATAGTTAGTTCTTATGGAATTCAACTAGGTCTGCTCGATGACTTAATTTAAAATTAAAAGGAAGCTTAATTAACGGCAAACAATGATCTTCTGACGCGACGCAACTCAACTATATGGGATGCAGTCAACGTGGTGCTGTTATTAGATCCCGTTACTGTTCCCTATGTCTCAGACTTGCCGGTGTTCCGAGTTCGATTTCGCTACGTAACGAACGGGATGCGTTATTTGTATATTGATTGCTTACTGCCAGTCGAGCTTGTTAGACCAAAGCAAAGCTTAGCGGTAATGCGGGATATAAAGCGTAAAAAAATATGTATCGACTTATTGATCTAATTTGCCACCGACACAAGAGGGTAACCTAAAAAAAACTTTTCCGAGGCCGTTTTCGGACTCGCCGACAAAGATAAGCTGATAAAAAATTAATAACTATATATAGTTTTCAACTTGTAATTTTAATTGTATCCAATCAACTAAAAATATATTAATAATATTATATATATTATTATATTATTATTATAAGTGGGTGTATTCTCAAGGTTGTATAATAAAAAAACGTCGAACGTTAGTAATCGAGGCACGCTTCGTTATCTTTATGCATCGACATGCGTCACATGTTTATTAAGACCGAAGTCAAACTTCAGGTAGGCGGTATAGGTCTTCCGCTTTACTCGATAAGGCTATCGTGCACCTGTTTAATATCAAATAAAAATAGCGCGGAAGATTGTACCGAACAAGTAAACTATTCAGTTTCGTCGTAGTTAATACTATTTCTGCCGCAATAACGCACGCACATATCTTCACCAGTTGCAGCCTCTCTTCATTTGTGTCATTATCGTTTTTGTAGTCTGCTAGGCAATTCAGCTTGACCCCCTGATATATTCGTATTGACCGACGCTCACTTTAATAAAACTCTCTCGTTATAATAATATCGTACGGACTGTTATGAATTAAATCAGCGAATCGTTGTGTTTGAAGCTGTAGTAGCGCGCCAAATACAAACCGCAGGGACAGTGAATAGAATCTACTAGGGCCAAAACCGGGAGTGGATAGTTCGCCTTGTGCCGGAAGAAGCCGCCACCTGCGTGAGACAGGTGCTTCAGCTAAGCCATTAGAGGCGGATGAAAAATCTGGAGAACTATCAACGATCCTTTCGTAAAATAGGGGCAATGCGTCTGATCATTTAGAGCCGATATACAGGCGGGCATGTAGATGCTGCAAGATTCTATAGAATTCAATATATATTTTAGAGCGACGTTCCTCCTCAACGATGCGTTGTCTGTCGTCTATGCTTAAGGCAAACTTGTTTCAGCCACGAACGATAAATAATTCGTTATTTTAGCATTTAGCCAAGTTCAGTGAAGCTTACCTTGATGAACACGATCTGTCTGCTACATTGACGTTAGCAGCGTATCATTTTTCTAGGGTCTGAGTGGCGTAACTCGTCAGATGATAAGTTCAAAAGTGCACTCTGGGTGGAATGGCCCAGCCGCCGAAGACGGTGAGTGTATCTTGTTTGTAAGTAAACAGCGAAACGCCATCCGTATCTATAATGTTATGGTGTGTAATTCTATAATGAGCCGCCTCACTATCGCTATTCATATGCGTGCCCTAAACTCTCTTAGCTTCCGCCACTGTACGAGGTCGTTCCCGCGGCGATTTAACCCTACCCCTTAGCAGAACAGTGTATCTAGCGTGCACGATTTCCGTCTCTACCTCGCTTTCGGACGCAGACTGTATTCATTGCATTACGTCAACAGATCACATTGGGTAGTAAATCATCAGAACGTGTGTTTTCAATCACGTTTATAATATTACTTCGTAAGCAAAAAGAAAGCTGTTCGTTAGAATTGATCCATTTGGGTTTCCAGTGGCCGCCACGGGCTCCCCGCTAGAAGACAGCGAGAGAAAAGCTGTTCTTATTGAGTTATTGGTTAAACCGCAATTGCGTTGGCCGTTAGCGATAAACATCGATTCGCGTACTACCCGCGCCAGACAAACAGGTTGGGGTTCACTGAATAAATTAAACATCGCTAAAGCCAGACCGGCAAGGATAAATTGAATTTACATTACCGTTTCTGTCGCGCCGATTTTCCCCGCTTTGCGAGCATAAAGGTTTATACGACACTAGATAAGTAGATCATAACTGTGTACGGCGCCGGCAACGGAAACTCGATCAGTTTTCGATCAGAAACTCGATCAGATTGACCGACCAGCAGCAGCAGCAGCAGCCCTATCCATTCCCGTTGAGAGCGAGTTCTTAATAGGTATTTAATTGCGACGCTACTAGGAATATTAAAGAGGCGCGGGGCGCTTCTTGAGTAAACTGTGGCCTGGGAAAAGATTTGAATTAAGAGCCACCAACTCTTCTTTAGTCCTGGAAATGCTTCGGGTGTAGATCGACACCGATTCCTATCAAGCGTACAAATTTCGACACCTATGACAGATAATTTGAGTCGGAACTTTGCGCTGAGGACGTGGCTCACACTTACGTGACTACGTAGACACAAAAACCATGTTAGAATCTGATTTAACAGGAATGGTTTCACATACATAATAAAAACAGTCTTACAACACGCGAATCCTAACTTGTTAGATAGATTTAGAACCGGGACAAACGTATGATATGTATATCTTGGTTATTTGCATGTGTTCATTGTGCGCCGACGACTCAACTTAGCGTCGACGACGAGCAAAGCCATTAATTAGGCAACAATTGGGAACTTACTGGGAAAGTACTTGCTAAGAAATTCCTTGTGGGGTCAAAGTGCCCGAAACGTCATTAATAAAGCACATTTCTCCACGGGAAGAAATTGTACTAGGATACTATAAACATTGTGTACCTTAATCCAACATAATATTATGGGCAAATGAAATGCCCCAGTACGGCAGTTCTTATGAGCAAGCGTATTGATAATATCTTGATTTCACTGATGATCACTATTGGGCATGGCTCGCACATAAAAATGCTCATTCAAAAACCGTATTAGATATGTTCATTCCGATTAAGGGGTCCTATTGACGACAAATAACCCCATTCAACGACGGAACATTTAGAGAAAATTTAAGGCAGCCGCTAGGCCACGCGGTAGCGCAGTGGGTAACGTGCTTACCTACGGAGGTAAGGAATATGATGTAGCTTGGATTCAAATCCGGCTGCAGACAGTGTTGAAAACCGGCTATCTAAACGTATCCTTACCGAACGTAAAACACGAAAAGAAGAAAGAAACAAATACACATTTTAACGAGACGCGCGTAATCATACGCGTTAACGAAAAAACGCGCTCATATTAGATATGTTTGATAGACAGATAGCATTATACAGCTGGCTTCCAGCAAAAAACAGCCCACGTCTGAACCTTCGCCATCATTTGTTCCTAAGCCAAGTAGCAAACGCGTTACTCACTGCATAATTATATGCATCTACGACGTAACGTCTTACTTCCAGACTTACTTACGAACTTACTTTCAGAGATCTGCGTTGTGAGATGCTACAATACAGGTGGTAATCGCTCTCGAGTTATAGAATAAGTTCATTAACCGAAACAAATGCCTTATTAATATGCTGCATACGTCCCTTTCCTAGGTGACTCATGTCTAGCTCTTACTAAACCTAATACCTGACACTTCGCACGAAGCGCGCACCTCATGCTTTTAGTACAAAAGCGGAAGTTGTGAGGCGGTCCAGGAAATAGAAGATCGTCTGTTAACGATATTCCATATTATTATACTAATTAAAAGCTTTTAAATCCATCGAGACAGTCATTGGAAATCAGTTTCACTACTGTTGGGCGAAATGATGAGAATGGTGGCAGCATGTGGTAAAAAGAACGCGCAGCTTTGCCCCCCTCATAAGGATAATTGTCAGTTAGAGGTACGGTAGAATTTTTGTCCAAATCGTAGTCCTGAATCATAACCATGTGTAAATGATACCATACAAATAAAATCGTGTTATCAAAATGAAATCAAATCAGACGTAAATCTTTCGACC